AGTGGTCCTTTACATACAGTGCAACTCCACCTCCTCTTTTATGGGGTGGGGGGGCGGGGGTTGGAATAGTTTGTATCCTTCTACCAGTATGTTCCAGTCATGGGTTTCATCCCACCAAGTTTCTGTTATTCCAATTATATCATATTTACCTTCATGTATTCATAGTTCGAGTTCACCCTGCTTGTTCCCCAGACTTTGTGCATTTGTACATAGGCACTTGAGATCTTTATGCCTGACACTGTGTTTACTGTCTCCATAACCTGTGTTGTGCCTGCTTGCCCCTACTTTCTTGCCACCTGTTTGATTAGTGCACATGGTATGGCACTCACTATTAAATGCTTGGTTTTGGTTGGCATCAAGGTTGACAATCTTACCTGCACAAACATCTATTTTGCATGCACTGGTATCCTTATTAGTTTTAGGTTGCTGGGGACGGAAATGTTCTGAATCCATTAATTTTCTGTCCCCGCTGTTCAGTGACTAGGCTGATCTTTATTTGCTTCAATTCCTCTATAAGGAATAAAACTAATCAAGTGGCCTTTCTAAACGGGGAGAGGGAAGACAAAAGAGGAAAACAGACGTCGCAAAAGCAGCTGGCCCAGCTCTTTGGATCACTGAGATCTAATTTCTTTTACTTTCTTGCATTTTTATCTTTCTCTTTGTTTCTCTTTGTTTTATTTTCCTCCTTATCTTGTGCCAGTTTTTTTTTTTAAGTATTAATGAAATTATGAAAAAATGTACTCAGGTGGAACGATAGGCATCATGTAGGCACCCAAAAAGGAAAAGAGAGAAGGAAGAAGAACAAGGAAAATCCATGTTGCAAACAGATGCCTCAGCTCTTAATGCTAGTGAAATGGCTGGTTTTTTTTTTTTCTTTTTAATGAAAAGGAAAATTCCGAGACAGTTAGAACTTAAAAAACTGGTTGGGACATGAGGTGAGTGAAGAAAATCTCTGTGGTTGGGTTGCTGGGAGTTGTAGTTCAACAGCATCTGTTGGGCTGCTGGGGAATCGTAGCCAAATAGGATTTGATGGATATCTTGACCAGTAATTATTCTAGCTGAGAAAAATGGAATTATTTAGAGTATTTAGAGAGCCAGTTTGATGGTAAAGACACCAGGTCGGATTCAGTAGATGGTGAGTTCTAGTCCTTCTTTAAGCATGAAGAACAGGCTGGATGACTTAGAGCCAGTCACTCTCCCAGCCCAATCCATCTGTCAGGACCCCTTGATGCAAAAATGGTTGCAGTAGAAAGTACCATTTGGGCTAACTTTAGGATATAAACAGATAAACATAATGATAATTTTAGTAGTTGTATAGGCTATGCAAAGGTGATTTGCTCCAATTGCCCAGGAAAATGCTAGATTACCTTTATGGTGATTCTTAGGTCATGGTTATCCCAAAGGTGCTTTTTTCAAGAGGCAACTGGACTTTCTGGTTTTTCTTTGAAGACATTTCACTTTTCATCCAAGAAGCTTCTTCAGCTCTGACTGGATGGTGGGGAATGGAAGGATTTATACTCCTGGCAGACAGCTGGTTTGAAAGAGGGGTCAAAGAGGCATGTCTGTCAAAATTGAACAGCCCTCTCTCAACAGAGAGGAAGGGGTATCTATCATCTATCTCCAATCTACAACACAGTCCTTTCAACAGTTCCAAGAAGGCTCCACACCCATTTGCACCTCTCAGGTGACCATGAGGACACAGATAAACCTCCAGGTGGCCTTAAAAACTTGCTAAAAGGATGCAAATGACCAGCTGTCTGCAAGAAGTATAAATCCTTCCATTCCCCACCATCCAGTCAGAGTTGAAGAAGGTTCTTGGATAAGAAGTGAAACATCTTCAAAGAAAAACCAGAAAAATCCAACTGCCTCTTTAAAAAAAAAAAGCAGCTTTGGGACTAGATTACCTTACTAGATGAGTTGAATGAGGATATGGAGGGTTTTGCAGTTTGTTTGTTTTTTAAAAAGGTTATTTGAATAGGACTTTTGATGGTTGCCACAACAATACTCAACAATCTTTTCCAATTTCTTATTCTGGTAGATCTCTGGAAATAATTCTGCAATAAGAAGATGGTCAAAGGGGAGAGCAGCTACAGCATACAGATATTTCTCCAAAATTCAAGGGATGACTTCCTTTTTACTAACCTCCCTGAACCTTGTCCTATTTTACCGAGGTACGAGTGAGTGACTCACAGAAATATGCTGTAAAATCTCAAGTGGTTTTCTAATTTCTCCCTTTATGGCAAAATGAACTGGTTATGAGCTCTGATCACAGATGAGCTATGGGTCACAGAAAACAAAGTCTTAATTCAACAGGAATCCATTTCTCTGTCTCAAAAATGCAAGGATAAGATCATCTCAATCATGATTTGTATGCTGTGCAGGTACGGACGGTCAGGGAAATCTTGGTGCATGGTCAAAGGATTGCATTTGATGGGTGTAAAAGTATAGAATAAAACAGAACAGAATAGAATAGAATAGTTCTTGATTGGCCAAGTGTGATTGAGCACACAAGGAATCTGTCTTGGTGCATATGCTCTCAGTGTACATAAAAGAAAAAATACATTCATCAAGAGTCAAGAAGCATCAGGTACAACACTTAATAATAGTCATAGGGTACAATAAGCAATCAAATCATACTACGAAACAGTCCATATAAATCGTAAGGATACAAGCAACAAAGTTACAGCAGTCACAAGTGGGAGTGGGTGGGTGATAAGGAGTGATGAGAAGATTAATAGTAATAGTAGTGCAGACTTTGTAAATAGTTGGACAGTGTTGAGGTAATTATTTGTTTAGCAGAGTGATGGCATTCGGGGAAAAACTGTCCTTGTGTCTAGCTGTTCTGGTGTGCAGTGCTCTATAGTGTCGTTTTGAGGGAAGGAGTTGAAACAGTTTATGTCCGGGATGTGAGGAGTCTGTAAATATTTTCACAGCTCTCTTTTTGACTCGTGCAGTATACAGGTCCTCGATGGAAGGCAGGTTGGTAGCAATTGTTTTTTTCTGCAGTTCTAATTACTCTCTGGAGTCTGTGTCTGTCCTGTTAGGTTGCAGAACCAAACCAGACAGTTATAGAGGTGCAGATGACAGACTCAATAATTCCTCTGTAGAACTGTATCAGCAGCTCCTTGGAAAGTTTGAAGAAGTAATGGAAAGGTTGTGGGGAGGTGGGTTTAATCTCCCATTTGTGGAAGCATTGTATTCATTCTGTTCCCTCCTCTGTCATTTCTTCTCCTCCTTCCTCCTGAACTTCATTTGTGTGTGTTCACATGGTAGCATTGCTTGTGGAAACCATGAACTGTGGCGGATGACCTGAAAAATTAAGTGGGCTGGTTCAAATACAATCCTAAGCCATAAATCATAGTTTGCAAACTATTACAGATGGGTTCATTCTTGGCACTAGGACAGGGATCTCCAAACTTGACAACTTTAAAGAATTGTGACTTCAACTCTCAGAATTCCTCAACCAGCATGAGCTATTCAGCAGGGTTGGCTGAGGGATTCTGGGAGTCGAAGTCCACAAGTCTTAAAGTTGCCTGGTTTAGAGACCTAGGCTACAGCACTAGGCTACAGACCAAGGAAAGAATGTCATAGCTGAAACAATGGGATGTGTGAATCCATCCTATGGTCTCAGTGGATTCACATTTAAGAGTCAATAGTAGCATGACTCAAATCAATGCATGTGATCACTTTCCCAGCTACCATTTCTACCAGCAGAGCAAAGCTGGAGAGATCCATCGAAGTAGTTTTCAGCGGTTGGAATGATCAGATCAACGGGGTGAAAGCAATAAATGTATTTAAAAAGTTATTTTCCATCTTCTGGGGTTCATCCTGCAATCTTGTCTTTCTATCTAGACATTGTTAAAGAAAAGCAATATTCTCTGCTTTGCTCAAGGTAAATTGAAGCTACCTATTTGGGCTGCAGCAACAGATGGTAGCAGAGGCACAGAAAAGTATAACATTTTGCTGTCACCTAGTGGTATAAAAGGACATCTTTCAGGCCAGAGATGAAACCCTGATTTTAAGATACAAAGATGCATTTGCAATGCAGCCCAAATATTAACCTTGGTTTGTTTTATTTATTTATTTATTTAATTTTATTTGGTTTGTCAATTGCTTACAAGATAATAGGTATAAATAAAAACATAGTTATGAATACATGGATACATATAAGAAAAATAAAAGAAACAATAGGACAGGGGCGGTAGGCACATTGGTGCGCTTATGCACGCCCCCTACAGACCTCTTAGGAAAGGGGTGAGGTCAATAGTGGAAAGTCAAACCTTGGTTTGTTTATTTCTTTATGGTATGGCTTCACAGGGTAGACCACTCCAAGGGGTTTCTCTACTTTGACAACTTTAAGACTTCAACTTTAGGACTTCAACTTCTAGAATTCTCCAATCATCTGACTCATTTTTGCAATTTGATCTCCAGAGTTTCCTTTGCTAAAATCGGATGTGCATATGTACTAAAGTGCCAGTCAGTAGTTATTTACTTACTTACTTACTTACTTACTTACTTACTTACTTACTTACTTACTGTAACAAAATGCCTCTGGATAGCTTACAGCATGAAAACATTAAAATCCTAAATGTTTACGGAGATTCTTAAGTCATCCAGGTCATGGTTGTCCCAAAGGCATTTTTATAAAAGGCAACTGGACTTTGTTTTTCCTTGAAGACTATTCTTTGAGGAATTCATCTGCCTCGGAGGTTTGCTTAGTATGGGTCTATTATTTGGAAACCCTGACACCCGTCTCTTCTTACAAACCTCCAGTGATGGAGCGCCCATGATTTCTGCAGGGAAGCTGTTCCACTGGTTAATTGTCCTACCTGTTAGGAAGTTTCTCCTTAATTGTTGTTGGCACTGAATTGATTGGATGATGTTTTTCAAAGGAGTAACTTGAACAGACCACCTCTGAATAAAAGCCTTGTGGGAGGAAAAAAAAAGTAAATATATTTAGCAGGGCCTTGCCAGTTACATTTTTTCTCTCCTCCCACCAGGTACTCTGACCAACGGTCTCGACCATTCGATTTCAGTGCCTGAGAAATCCTTTGTGGAAATAAACCATTGTATCGACGTGCCCTGCAGGTTCACCGTTCCAGAACGGTACTCGGAAAGCTCAGAACCCCTTTACATCTATTGGTTTAAGAATGTATACAAACGTTACTATTTGAGATGGATCAACATCTGGGTATTAGGAGTTCTGATGATCAGCAACGACTCAAGGCAGAGACCGGATCCTACCAATTTTAAGCTGATCGGGGATATCAACAATGGCGACTGCTCCTTCAGCATTGACGATGCCCAGCTTGAAAACACGGGATGGTACTACATGAGAATTGATAAAGGAGAAGCATATAGGCATACATTTGTACATTCTCATAATCTCCAAATTGTGGTGACAGGTAGGCAAGTTTTTGAACTCCCCCCTCCGCTTCTTCCTAGACATGTTTGATGCCTTTACTTTAGAACAAGAGGGGGAAATGTTGGAGACCCATGGACAAACCTGGATCCTTGTTGCCCAGATACGATAAGGGTTTTGCAGATGAAGCTACAATAGACAGAATAACAGAAGAGGAAAAGCCCTTGGAGGTCTTTCCAGTCCTTGCCTGCTCAAGTGGGAGATCCTATACCCGTGAAAATTAACCTGTGGCACACGTGCCAGAGGTGGCACGCAGAGCCCTTTCTGTGGGCATGCGAGCTGCTGCCCTCAGCTAGTCCTTCTGTTCATTAAACTAGACATACTCAATTACAGAATGGGCTGGGCTGATAAAGGCAGCTGTGTTAGAGTTTGCAGCAGAAATTCCAGTCCAGAAAACACACATATGACTGATTCAGAAGGATCATTAACTTCTTTATAAACATAATAATATGAGTAAAGTTTACAGTACCATTTGTAGATTCTTTCAAGGTAACAAAAAGCAAAAACACAAGCAGCAGCAGCAGCTCAGAGCAGATATCAGTTTTAGCAAGCAAGCAAGTTAGTTTCAGTTTCAATTCTCAACAAAACACACAGAGCCAAGCCACACCCAGGCTGTCAGCTCCTATTGGCTGGTCTGTTGCCATGCTTACTCACTTGCTGACTTTGTTCACCGTGTCTCTGCCAGTTAATGAATATACTCTAACAAGCTGGAGGCCTCCCCAAAAACCGAAAGGCCTCCCATCAACATTTTTCTTGCTTAGATATGAAGAAGCCGGTGATTTGGAAACCATCTTCCATCATCTGGGGGGAAACCATCAACCTTAGCTGTGTGGCATCAAATTGCTGCTTGAAACCCAAGCCTCAAATCATCTGGTCCTCCAAATCCAGCAATTGGAATATCTCTGAATGGGGCAAACAGATCAGCGATTGGACCTGGACCTATGGAGCCAACCTCAGCTTCGTACCCATTTTGGCTAACGAAGGCGTAACCCTCACTTGTAATTTAAAATACCCTGACACAAGGAAAGACACACAAAATGCCGTCCAACTTCATATGGCCTGTGAGTAGTTCTCTAATTTCTAACTCCTTGCCTCAGGCTTTGCCTGGGAAGCTCTTTGCATCCCGGTTAGGAGAGGCAGCCTTACCAGTATTTCTTTAGTAACCACTCAAAATTACAATGGCACTGAAAAAAAATGGCCTATGACCAGGGCTGGGCTTCAAAAATGTTAGCAAGGGATTCTCTGCCTGGTTGCTGGTTGGGCATGGTCATGGTGGGTGTGCATAGATAACAGATAATCAGAGTTGGAAGGGGCCTTGTAGGTCATCTAGCCCAACCCCCCACCCAAGCGGGAGACCCTACGCCATTTCCGACAAATGGCAGTCCAGTCTTTTCTTGAAGGTCTCAAGTGATGGCGCTCCCACAACTTCCGAAGGCAACTTCTGTTCCATTGGTTGATTACTCTCACTGTCAGAAAGTTTCTCCTTATTTCCAGGTTGAATCTCTCCTAGTTCAGTTTCCATCCATTGTTCCTTGTCTGGCCTTCGGGTTCCTTGGAAAATAGCTTGACCCCTTCCTCCTCTCTGTGGCAGCCCCTCAAATATTGGAAGACTGCTTTCCTGTCTCCCCACCACCAGTCTCTGGGAAGTTTAAATGGAATGGAGGCTATTTCAATCTATTTTTGTCTTGGGTACTCACTCTCTGTCTCCCCCACAAACAGCCAGCCGTTCCTCCCACCGGCCTCCGAGAGGTTTTTGCCCTCCCTGGGCTCTGGGGGCTTTCCTGGAGCCTCCAGGAGGTCAAAAACAGCCTCCCGGGGCTACGGAGGTTCTCTGGAAGCTTGGAAAGGAGCCCATTTCCGGCCTTCCTGAACTTCCGGGAGGCCTGTTTTTCACCCTCGCTGGGCTCCGTGCGCGCCCTGCACTTACCTGCCTTCAAAATGGGACTCCTGGGAGGGGAGAGGAAGGATGGGCGGGGCCAGCCAGGAGTGGGATTTGGGGGTTGTCCGAACTGCACGGAATCTTAGCTAGAGGATCTCCCAAACCCCTACGAACCCTCAGCAGCCCACCCGTACTTATGACCATTTTTCACACTTACCACTGAACATTGCAACAATCCCCAGGGTCAAGTGGTCAAAATCCAGATGCTTGGCCATTGATTCATATTTATGATGTCTGCAGTGTCCCGGGGTCATTTGATCCCCTTTTGTGACCTGACGAGCAACGTCCATGGGGAATCCACTAACGTAACAGCGGCAACGATTCGTGTAACAGCGGTGGCAAGAAAGTTCGTGAAAAGGGGACAAAACTTGCTTGCTGCATGTCTCACATAAATGTGGGGCTCCATTGTGGTCGTAAGTCAAGGGCTACCTGCATTCCCAGCCCCTCCTACTCCTCCAAGCACGAACGACCACAATTGGACTGGAATTTCCATCATAGGTCACTGTCATCGTAAGTCAAGTCGAACAGGGCTGGCTGGGGAATTCGGGGAGTTGAAGTCCACACATTCTAAAGTGGACAAGGTTGAGAAACACCTCTAGAATAATATAGGTTGGCCAAATAGCTTCTATGTCAGAAGCCTCCAAACTTGGCAACTCTAAGACTTGTGGATTTCAATTCCCAGAATTCCTCAGCCAGCTATGCTGAGGAATTCTGGGAATTGAAGTCCACAAGTCTTAGAGTTGCCAAGTTTGGAGACTTCTGATTTATGTGTTCCAGATTACCAAAAGCCAATTGTCAGGGCAGCACCCAAGCCAGCCAACACTTTTAAAAAGTCTAAAGCATCATGAGATTACTGATGCTTTGGGTATTCTGACCAGATAACAGATAATCAGAGTTGGAAGGGACCTTGTAGGTCATCTAGTCCCCTGCCCAAGCGGGAGACCCTACACCATTTCTGACCAGCAATGATCTGAGAATGCCATTGGGAGAACATGTCCGAAAGTTGTCAGATCTTTCAGAATAGGTTTCTGTGGGTGTTTTATAAGGTTCAGGGCATTCTAGAAAACAGGAATGTTAAAGCTCTTTGGGTTTGCTGTAGTACTACACTAGCCTAGAGGTGATATCTTGTGCCATAGTCAGATCTTACTATACAAGATGACGTCCTCTTTTTTTTGAGGCAATGGATACCCAGCTGATAATTATGGACCTTACTTCTTTTGCCCAGAAGAATTGTGTATTTGTTTTGCCCTCTTCCAGATAGCCCTCAGATCATGGCCATCCATATTTGTAAGTATGACGACAATAGCACCACTACTGTTTGCTCTTGTGCCTTCCATTCTTGGCCCCCACCAGATATCCAGTGGTACATGAACCATCAACATTTAACCAAGCAAAACATCTCTGGCGATGTAAATATCATATCCTCAACCCAAGGCAACACCATCACCAGTTCCATATATCTTCGAGGAAATGCCTTAAATTCCTATATAATCAGTTGCAGAGGAATAAATCCTTTCGGATTCTCCAATTTGAAGACTCTGTCTATTCTAGCCAAGAAAGGTGAGTAGACCCTATCTGTTGCGGTCCACCGGTGGCTGGCAGAGCTGGAAGCAGAGTCGGACAGTGGGAGGAACATGGGCCAGTCCTGGAGTCTGGGGAGGGCTCGGGCAAGGGATCTGCATTTGATATAAAGAAGAGGCCAGGGCCATCTGAGAGTTATGTGCTGACTCTGGAGCCTCTAGAATCTGACATCAGCGAGGCAGAGAAACAGGGGGAGCCTGTTCCCAGTGCGCGCTTGCGCAGAGTTGCCAGAAGGCAAGAACAGTTAAGACAAAAGGAGCGACTCGGAAGTAAGGCTTGGAGATGATTGGCCCCTCCCATAAGACATAAAGGAGGAGCAAAGGGACATGAACCTTTGCAGGAAGCAACTTTGTTCGTTCTGGTCAGTTTAAAATCTGAAGCTCTGCTTTGACGCCTATGGTGGGACTAGATTTCATGCTCATGCAAAATCATTAAATGATTGTCCAATCTCTTCTTAAAAATCTTCAGTGATGAAGCACCCATAACTTCTGGAGACAAGTCATTCTAACTCTTCTTACTGTCAGGAAATGTCTCCTTAATTCCAGGTTGCTTCTCTCCTTGATGAGTTTCCACCCATGGCTTTTTGTCCTGTCTTCAGGTGCTTTGGAGAACAGCTTGACTCCCTCTTCTTTGTGGCAGCCCCTGGGATACTGGAACGCTGCTGTCATGTCCCCCCTAGTCCTTCTTTTCATCAAACTAGACATACCCAATTCCAGCAACCGTTCTTTATATGTTTTAAGCCTCCGGTCCCCTAATCTTCTTTGTTGCTCTTCTCTGCACAGAGAAGAGAGAGCAAAATGTTCAGCTTGCTGCAATTCTTCTTGGAACGCTTGTAACCATTTTACTGTTGATGGCCATACTTTACTATTTCTCTGGTAAGTCGTACGTTGGAGCTTCAAATATTCATGCATGCTCTCCATCTTGTTTCCCAACTGCTTCTTAGCAGAAGTTGGCGCCAGGGGTGGGCTTCCAAAAATCTAGCAAAGGGTCCTCTGCCTGGTTGCTGGGTGGGCATGGCCAGGGTGGGTGTGGCCTAGTCGGCCTCCCGCACCACGGTGGGGGAGGGAGACGTTTTTGCCCTCCCAGGGCTCCAGAGGCTTTCTTCGAGCTTCCGGGAGGGTGAAAATGGCCTCCCCGTGCTCTGGAGGCTCTATGAAAGCTGGAAATGGGCCCATTTCTGGCCTTTCCGAACTTCCGGGAGGCCCGAGCTTCTGGGAGACACTTACCTGCATCCAAAATAGCCCACGTGGGGACTCCTGGCAGGGGAGGGGCAGGGTGGGCGGGGCCAGCCAGGGGTGGGATTTGGGGGTTCTCCAAACTGCATTTCAAGGAACCAAGGAACTGCACAGAATCTTAGCTAGGGGCTCTCCCGAACCCCTGTGAACCCCCAGCAGCCCCCCCCCCGGGTTGGCGCTGTTGTTCAGGTGGGTTCAGTCAGTGCCACTTTCCAGCACTGGCAGAAATGGGGTTCAGCTGCCATTGCTTCCAATTTCCCATCTTCAATCTTTTATAGGTTTATTTATTTATTTGTTAGAATCCCACCTTTATTATTTTTAGAGATTGTATGAGGCCCTTAGCCTTACAAGTAGTCCTCGTTTAGTGACCGTAACTGAGACCAGTAACGTGGCTGTCAAGCCCTGTGGTGTGGTTATTAATGAACCTGCAATTGTCCTTACGATTATACTCTGCTTTTCTTTGCTTTACGGTTCTGTTGTAAATACAAGGATCGGTGACTAATTGCTTTTTCATCACTGTCATAATGTAAACGGTCATTAAACAAGGATTACCTGTATATTAGGGATGGCTAAGAGACTGAGCTTGTTGATCAGAAAGGTTAGCAGTTCGGCGGTTCGAATCCCTAGCGCCACGTAATGGAGTGAGCACCCGTTCCTTGTCCCAGCTTCTGCCAACCTAGCGAAAGCACATTAAAAAAAATGCAAGTAGAAAAATAGGGAGCACTGTGGCAGGAAGGGAACAGCATTCTGTGCGCCTTTGGCATTCAGTCATGCCAGCCACATGACCACGGAGACGTCTTCGGACAGCACTGGCTCTTCGGCTTTGTAACAGAGATGAGCACCGCCCCCTAGATCTGGAAATGACTAGCACATATGTGCGAGGGGAATCTTTACCTGTATAGTCTGCTGTCTTCTCGGCCCTCCCATTCTCTTCTAATGCTGTGAAAATGTATAAAAAAAAATTATTTCTGCCTTCAAAGCAAGATGAGAACAAGGTTGTGTGTGTTATTTTTTGGGGTGGTGGTGGTGGTGAGGAAGAGGCTTTTTCATGGATTCCATTTAGGATTTCTTTCAGAAGTTTCTCTTTTTTTCTCTCTCTCTCATTTCAGGGTCCACAGAATTAAAAATGAACCAGGCCACACATCCAGCAGGATAAATTCCCCTCATTACATCCTGAACCTCTTATCATTCTTTCCTGCGTGTCTGTATACAATCATCCTTTTTTTTGTT